CAGAGGTCATGACTTACCACGGAAGTTTTTGACCTAGTCACAATGTTATGCTCCCCAGGGGTCAAAGGTTATGACCTCTCAAAGTATTTTTCCTATACTTTGTGCAGTAACCTTTGACCCCGTGACATTTGACCCCTAGGGAGCATAACCTTGTGACCCCACCAACAGTTGCGGGGGGTCATGACCTTTGACCTCAGGGGTCACCGACCTTATACTCCGAGGTCGGCCTACAGAAGATCCCTTAACTCTAACCCTAACCCTAACCCTAACCCTAACCCTAACCCTAACCCTAACCCTAACCCCTAACCCCTAACCCTAACCCTAACCCCTAACCCTAACCCTAACCCTAACCCTAACCCTAACCCTAACCCTAACCCTAACCCTAACCCTAACCCCTAACCCTAACCCCTAACCCTAACCCTAACCCTAACCCCTAACCCTAACCCCTAACCCTAACCCTAACCCTAACCCTAACCCCAACAAATTCCTACAAATTCCTACAACTTCCTACAACTTCCTACAACTTCCTACAACTTCCTACAACTTCCAACAACTTCCTACAACTTCCTACACATTCCAACAAATTCCTACAACTTCCTACAACTTCCAACTTCCAACAAATTCCAACAAATTCTTACCAATTCCTACAACTTCCTACAACTTCCTACAACTTCCAACAACTTCCTCAACTTCCTACACATTCCAACAAATTCCTACAACTTCCTACAACTTCCAACAACTTCCAACAAATTCCAACAAATTCTTACCAATTCCTACAAGTTCCAACAAATTCCTACAACTTCCTACAACTTCCAACAACTTCCAATGAATTCCAACAACTTCCTACAACTTCCTACAACTTCCAACAACTTCCTTCAACTTCCTACAAATTCCAACAACTTCCTACAACTTCCTACAATTTCCTAAAAATTCCAACAAATTCCAACAAATTCCTACAACTTCCTACAACTTCCAACAACTTCCAATGAATTCCAACAACTTCCTACAACTTCCTACAACTTCCAACAACTTCCTTCAACTTCCTACAAATTCCAACAAATTCCTACAACTTCCTACAACTTCCAACAACTTCCAACAAATTCCAACAAATTCTTACCAATTCCTACAAATTCCAACAACTTCCTACAACTTCCAACAATTTCCTACAAATTCCAACAAATTCCAACAAATTCCTACAACTTCCTACAACTTCCAACAACTTCCAATGAATTCCAACAACTTCCTACAACTTCCTACAACTTCCAACAAATTCCAACAAATAACCCTAACCCCAACAAATTCCTACAAATTCCTACAACTTCCTACAACTTCCTACAACTTCCAACAACTTCCTACAACTTCCTACAAATTCCAACAAATTCCTACAACTTCCTTCAACATCCTACTTCCAACAAATTCCAACAAATTCTTACCAATTCCTACAAATTCCAACAAATTCCAACAAATTCTTACCAATTCCTACAAATTCCAACAACTTCCTACAACTTCCTACAATTTCCTACAAATTCCAACAAATTCCAACAAATTCCTACAACTTCCTACAACTTCAAACAACTTCCAATGAATTCCAACAACTTCCTACAACTTCCTTCAACTTCCAACAACTTCCTTCAACTTCCAACAAATTCCAACAAATTCCAACAATTTCCAATAAATTCCAACAACTTCCTACAACTTCCTACAACTTCCAACAACTTCCAATCAATTCCAACAACTTCCTACAACTTCCTACAACTTCCAACAAATTCCAACAACTTCCAACAACTTACAACAGCTTCCTACAAATATCAACAACTTTCAACAACTTCCTACAACTTCCAATAAATTCCAACATTTTCCTACAACTTCCAATGAATTCAAACAACTTCCTACAACTTCCTACAACTTCCAACAACTTCCAACAAATTCCAACAAATTCTTACAAATTCCAACAAATTCTTACAACTTCCAACAACTTCCTACAACTTCCAACAAATTCCAACAAATTCTTACAAATTCCTACAAATTCCAACAACTTCTTACAACTTCCTACAATTTCCTACAAATTCCAACAAATTCCAACAAATTCCTACAACTTCCTACAACTTCCACCAACTTCCAATGAATTCCAACAACTTCCTACAACTTCCTACAACTTCCACCAAATTCCAACAAATTCCAACAACTTACAACAGCTTCCTACAAATATCAACAACTTCCAACAACTTCCTACAACTTCCAACAACTTCCAACAAATTCCAACAAATTCCAACAACTTCCTACAACTTCCAATAAATTCCAACAACTTCCTACAACTCACTTCCAACAACTTCCAATCAATTCCAACAACTTCCTACAACTTCCTACAACTTCTAACAAATTCCAACAAATTCCAACAACTTACAACAGCTTCCTACAAATATCAACAACTTTCAACAACTTCCAACAAATTCCAACAAATTCCAACAACTTCCTACAACTTCCAATAAATTCCAACAACTTCCTACAACTTCCTACAACTTCCAACAACTTACAATAAATTCCAACAACTTCCTACAACTTCCAATAAATTCCAACAACTTCCTACAACTTCCAACAACTTCCATTACATTCCAACAACTTCCTACAACTTTCTACAACTTCCAACAAATTCCAACTAATTCCAACAACTTACAACAGCTTCCTACAAATATCAACAACTTCCAACAAATTCCAACAAATTCCAACAACTTACAACAGCTTCCTACAAATATCAACAACTTCCAACAACTTCCTACAACTTCCAACAACTTCCAACAAATTCCAACAAATTCCAACAACTTCCTACAACTTCCAATAAATTCCAACAACTTCCTACAACTTCCTACAACTTCCAACAAATTCCAATCAATTCCAACAACTTCCTACAACTTTCAATAAATTCCAACAACTTCCAACAACTTCCAATAAATTCCAACAACTTCCTACAACTTCCTACAACTTCCAACAAATTCCAACAACTTACAACAGCTTCCTACAAATATCAACAACTTCCAACAAATTCCAACAAATTCCAACAACTTCCAACAACTTCCAACAAATTCCAACAAATTCCAACAACTTCCTACAACTTCCAACAACTTCCAATAAATTCCAACAACTTCCTACAACTTCCAACAACTTCCAACAAATTCCAACACTTTCCTACAACTTCCTACAATTTCCTACAAATTCCAACAACTTCCTTCAACTTCCAACAACTTCCGACAACAACCTAAAACTTCCTACAACTTCCTACAACCCACAACAACCCACAACAGCCCACAACAACCCACAACAACCCACAACAACCCACAACAACCCACAACTTCCAACAACAACCCACGACTTACCACAACAACCCACGACTTCCCACGACTTCCCACGACTTCCCTGGACTTCCCTGGACTTCCCTGGACTTCCCTGGACTTCCCTGGACTTCCCACGACTTCCCTGGACTTCCCTGGACTTCCCTGGACTTCTTCCCTGGACTTCTTCTTCCCTGGACTTCTTCTTCCCTGGACTTCTTCTTCTTCCCTGGACTTCTTCTTCTTCCCTGGACTTCTTCTTCTTCCCTGGACTTCTTCTACTTCCCTGGACTTCTTCTTCCCTGGACTAACCCATTCCCTTATATTTGACCCATGTTGACTTATCTGTTTTTTACACGTTTCACACCATTTTAGAATTTCTTATGTTTTTCTTTATTTTGGGGTGTCGGAAAAAGACAACTTTTGGCCATAACTTCTGACCCCAATGACCTATGACCTTGACCTTTGGGGTCAGAGGTCATGACTTACCACGGAAGTTTTTGACCTAGTCACAATGTTATGCTCCCCAGGGGTCAAAGGTTATGACCTCTCAAAGTATTTTTCCTATACTTTGTGCAGTAACCTTTGACCCCGTGACATTTGACCCCTAGGGAGCATAACCTTGTGACCCCACCAACAGTTGCGGGGGGTCATGACCTTTGACCTCAGGGGTCACCGACCTTATACTCCGAGGTCGGCCTACAGAAGATCCCTTAACTCTTACCCTAACCCTAACCCTAACCCTAACCCTAACCCTAACCCTAACCCTAACCCGAACCCGAAGCCCTAGAAGCCCTAGAAGCCCTAGAAGCCCTACGGTCGTGTTACTTAGCTTCTTTGCGTAATGCGGCCCCATCCTTTCCATTTCCAAGCACAATAATGAGCATTTGTGTAAACATTACATAAGCAGAGTATCATCCAGCCATTCTCTTGGTTTGGCCCAAAAAGTGTTAACGTGTACCAAATTATGCAATTGATGACAAATGGTACCGACAAAAAAACTTGCACTTTTGTATACGTGCGAGGTTAGTGTGAACCACAACTTGCACGTATACAAAAGTGCAACTGTTTTCGGTATACTTTGTCCTAAATTGTATAAATTCGTAAACATTATCACTGTTTTTGGGCATAAGAAAAAGTATGGCTGAAATGCTAAGGAATGTCTGTACTGGTTAGTCGTTAGTTGAGCGAGAGGTGCTAAGTAGTTATTGAGTTAAAAATCATTGGAAAGTGGGGACTTTCTTTTTGGGTTGAGTGTAGTTACATTTACAGTTCTGATGGGGAGACTAAATAATTATCAGGGAAGATTGGGCTTGGAAGAGTGACTGTCCTCGCAACGAAATCGTAACAAAGTACTGTATTTCAACTAAAAGGTTACCCGTTGGGAAGTATTTAAGAAGCTAAAGCAGTTCCATCCCCTCCCGCCAAAAAAATTGATGGAACAACACATCATTAATTACGCTAGATATTATATTTGTCACTCAACCCAAACAAACCAAATTTCTCAAAGCTTTAAGGAAGTCTCAGGCCAGAAAATAATCATTTACAGACTTCAAAACGTCTAAGGTCAGTTATAGCCATGATCAGTGAATGGTAGGAATTTGTATTGTGATGCTCTAGTGGGTACATTGTGCTAGGATCCATATAAATACGCTCCATTTTTCGAACCAGTCATCCACTTGACAACAGCAACAGCAGCGGTGGATGCCTTCAGTTCACAGCTATTGCAGTGCAACACTCGTCGTGTTGACTTCGACTTCCTTTGCTAAAGGGCGAACCTGTTGTACAGACCGTAAGTTCCTTCTTGCACTTTGGGACTCTTTCGTTTGTCATGAACTCGGTGACATAAAAAAGTTAACATTTTGTGATGATGACTGGGTATTATTTTTCTTCTATTTCGAGCTCACTGGTTATGACCTTAATTGGGCATGTCAGGGTCGGACGATTAGATTTTATGGTGGTAACATAGTCTAGTTTTTATTGTCGCAATGTTTTTTTAATTGCCATGGTTTCCGTAAATTTGTTACAATCTTTGTATGTTATGATATTATGATCAAATATTGGAATGTGTTTTCTTCATTCATTGTCTCCAATTAAAAGTGACTTTCTTTCGAATCGGAATTTTAATTAATACACTTTTTTGCACAACTCCTGGATTGTCCTAGATCATTTGCAACGACACCAGAGGTGATTCTGCATTCCTCCAGAAGCTTCAAATCAGCACGGGCTTAAGCTTGGTTTCCAGCGCTGTATGGACATTTGGGGACGCCAAGTCAACTATAGCAAATTCTGAAAGTGAGTATTGTTTTGGATGGCGTTTAAATCTTACGTTCTCGTGTACACAACACTAAAGAAAATCGCTCAATAAGTTAATTCCTCGTGTACATCATCTACAATTTTAGTTTAAGGAAATTGAAGTATGAAGGACACTCCGTATTTTATTGTCATGAAACAATTTCTTACAAAAGAGGGCGCGCTATACAAAAACTGCTCACCGCACTGATCCGACGTACGTCTGGCCGTACGATATGTAAACTACATCCGTGTTGATGCGTTGCCAAGACCACTATTTATGTGGCGCGCCCTCTATTGAACGAAACTTAACATATTCTACGGCGTGCGGATGTATGTCTTGGCGGTGCGAGACCACTAGTTTTATTCAGCGCGACCTTTCTCGAAATTTTTTTTTTAGTTGTTTGACGGTTTCTCACGAAATTTAATCTCCTCATGTAAGACATGAAGACTGATCACTTGCTGAGCTTACAACTTAATATAGCTTGACCTGGTGAGCTCGGGTTATTGCTCAAACAACGAGTGTATTATTATTTTTTTTCAATGGACGTTGACTTTTCATTTTTCATTTGGTTTGTATTTTTCAAGTTTGTTTCGGGTATGCTCTTTTCATCGTTTGATGATTTCTCATGAAATTAAATCTCATAATGTAACACAGTCATCATGACAAATCACTGAATATTCAATTTTGAAATACAGAACAAACTCGTTTTGGGGGCGAAAACTCAAGAAATACACGTTACATTAAAATGAATTTTTGTGCACTCATTTGTCATGATGTTTGACATGAACAGATTTAATTTCAGAGGAAAAGGTCAAACAATCAAGCTATTATGACCGTAACAATACAGGATTTCATTCTCGACAAATACAAATCTAATGGAAGTCAACGTGGATTTTTAGCTTTTTAAACACTAGATTGTTACGATCATATTATATTAAGAGCTCCACGGTTTCTCACGCCATTCAAACGACTTCTGTTACACATCGTGAAAATTAATTGCACGAAATTTCAATTGAATCCATTTCGTATTTCTTGAGTAGTTTATCGGAAACGAGTTTGTTCCTTTTTGTTCAATTTTGCAGCAGCCGTGTTGATGCGTTGTTGAGACCACTATGTGGCGCGCCCTCTTTTGAAGGAAAATTTTAAAAATTCTACGACGTGCGGATGAATGTCTTGGCGGTGCGAGACCACAAGTATTATTCAGCGCGCCCTTTCTCAAATTAATTGTTTTCGTTGTTTTACGGTTTCTCACAAAATTTAATCTCCTCGTGTAAGACATCAAGACCGATCACTTGCTGAACTTAAAACTTAACATAGCTTGACCTGGTGAGCTCGGGTTATTGCTCAAACAACGAGTGTATTATTATTTTTCCATAGACGTTGACTTTTCATTTTTCATTTGGTTTGTATTTTTCACCTGTAAAATACTGTATTTGTTTCGGGTATACTTTTTTTCATTGTTTGATGGTTTCTCATGGAATTAAATCTCATAATGTAACACAGTCATCAAGACAAATCACTGAATATTCAATTTTGAAATACAGAACAAACTCGTTTTGAGGGCAACAGCTCAAGAAATACACGTTATATTAAAATGAATTTTTGTGCACTCATTTGTCATTATGTTTGACATGAACAGATTTAATTTCAGAGGAAAAGGTCAAACAATCAAGCTATTATGACCGTAACAATACAGGATTTCATTCTCGACAAATACAAATCTAATGGAAGTCAACGTGGATTTTTAGCTTTTCAAACACTAGATTGTTACGATCATATTATATTAAGAGCTCCACGGTTTCTCACGCCATTCAAACGACTTCTGCTACACATCGTGAAAACTAATTGCACGAAATTTCAATTGAATCCATTTCGTATTTCTTGAGTAGTTCATCGGAAACGAGTTTGTTCTTTTTTGTTCAATTTTGCAGCATCCGAGTTGATGCGTTGTTGAGACCACTATTTATGTGGCGCGCCCTCTATTGAAGAAAAATTTTAAAAATTCTACGGCGTGCGGATGAATGTCTTGGCGGTGCGAGACCACTAGTTTTATTCAGCGCGTCCTTTCTCAAATTAATTGTTTGAGTTGTTTGACGGTTTCTCACGAAATTTTATCTCCTCATTTAAGACATCAAGACCGATCACTTGCTGAATATACAACTTAATATAGCTTGACCTGGTGAGCTCGCCGGTTCTTGCTCAAACAACCAGTGTATTATTATTATTTTTCCATGGACGTTGACTTTTCAATTTTCATTTGGATTGTTTTTTTCACGTTTAAAATACTGTATTTGTTTCGAGTATGCTCTTTTTCATTGTTTTGTGGTTTCTCATGAAATTAAATCTCATAATGTAACACAGTCATCATGACAAATCACTGAATATTCAATTTTGAAATACAGAACAAACTCGTTTTGGGGGCAACAACTCAAGAAATACACGTTACATTAAAATTAATTTTTGTACACTCCTTTGTCATTATGTTTGACATGAACAGATTTAATTTCAGAAGAAAAGGTCAAACAATCAAGCTATTATGACCGTAACAATACAGGATTTCATTCTCGACAAATACAAATCTAATGGAAGTCAACGTGGATTTTTAGCTTTTCAAACACTAGATTGTTACGATCATATAATATTAAGAGCTCCACGGTTTCTCACGCCATTCAAACGACTTCTGCTACACATCGTGAAAACTAATTGCACGAAATTTCAATTGAATCCATTTCGTATTTCTTGAGTAGTTCATCGGAAACGAGTTTGTTCTTTTTTGTTCAATTTTGCAGCATCCGTGATGATGCGTTGTTGAGACCACTATTTATGTGGCGCGCCCTCTATTGAAGGAAAATTAAAACAAATCTACGGCGTGCGGATGAATGTCTTGGCGGTGCGAGACCACTTGTTTTATTCAGCGCGCCCTTTCTCGACAGAATTGTTTAAGTTGTTGGACGGTTTCTCACGAAATTTAATCTCCTCGTGTAAGACATCAAGACCGATCACTTGCTGAACTTACAACTTAATATAGCTTGACCTGGTGAGCTCGGGTTATTGCTCAAACAACGAGTGTATTATTATTATTTTTCCATGGACGTTGACTTTTCAATTTTCATTTGGATTGTTTTTTTCACGTTAAAAAATTCTGTATTTTTTTCGAGTATGCTCTTTTTCATTGTTTTGTGGTTTCTCATGAAATTAAATCTCATAATGTCACACAGTCATCATGACAAATCAGTGAATATTCAATTTTGAAATACAGAACAAACTCGTTTTGGGGGCAACAACTCAAGAAATACAAGTTATATTAAAATGAATTTTTGTGCACTCCCTTGTCATTATGTTTCACATGAACAGATTTAATTTCAGATGAAAAGGTCAAACAATCAAGCTATTATGACCTTCACAATACAGGATTTCATTCGCGACAAATACAAATCTAATGGAAGTCAACGTGGATTTTTAGCTTTTCAAACACTAGATTGTTACGATCATATTATATTAAGAGCTCCACGGTTTCTCACGCCATTCAAACGACTTCTGCTTCACATCGTGAAACTAATTGCACGAAATTTCAATTGAATCCATTTCGTATTTCTTGAGTAGTTCATCGGAAACGAGTTTGTTCTTTTTTGTTCAATTTTGTAGCATCCGTATTGATGCGTTGTTGAGACCACTATTTATGTGGCGCGCCCTCTATTGAAGGAAAATTTTAAAAATTCTGCGGCGTGCGGATGAATGTCTTGGCGGTGCGAGACCACTAGTTTTATTCAGCGTGCCCTTTCTCAAATTAATTGTTTTAGTTGTTTGACGGTTTCTCACGAAATTTTATCTCCTCGTGTAAGACATCAAGACCGATCACTTGCTGAACATACAACTTAATATAGCTTGACCTGGTGAGCTCGCCGGTTATTGCTCAAACAACCAGTGTATTATTATTATTTTTCCATGGACGTTGACTTTTCAATTTTCATTTGGATTGTTTTTTTTTTCACGTTTAAAATACTGTATTTGTTTCGAGTATGCTCTTTTTCATTGTTTTGTGGTTTCTCATGAAATTAAATCTCATAACGTCACACAGTCATCATGACAAATCACTGAATATTCAATTTTGAAATACAGAACAAACTCGTTTTGGGGGCAACAACTCAAGAAATACACGTTATATTAAAAAGAATTTTTGTGCACTCCTTTGTCATTATGTTTGACATGAACAGATTTAATTTCAGAAGAAAAGGTCAAACAATCAAGCTATTATGACAGTAACAATACAGAATTTCATTCTCGACAAATACAAATCTAATGGAAGTCAACGTGGATTTTTAGCTTTTCAAACAATAGATTGTTACGATCATATTATATTAGGAGCTCCACGGTTTCTCACGCCATTCAAACGACTTCTGCTACACATCGTGAAAACTAATTGCACGAAATTGCAATTGAATTCATGTCGTATTTCTTGAGTAGTTCATCGGAAACGAGTTTGTTCTTTTTTGTTCAATTTTGCCGCATCCGTGTTAATGCGTTGTTGAGACCACTATTTATGTGGCGCTCCCCCTATTGAAGGAAAATTTTAAAAATTCTACGCCGGGCGGATGAATGTCTTGGCGGTGCGAGACCACTAGTTTTATTCAGCGCGCCCTTTTTCAAATTAATTGTTTTAGTTGTTTGACGATTTCTCACGAAATTTTATCTCCTCATGTAAGACATCCAGAGTTGTAACGAGTCACTGATTTTTGTGACTCGAGTCGAGTCGAGTCATTTTAAAGAAGTGACTCGAGTCGAGTCGAGTCATTATGTCAACAAGGTCGAGTCGAGTCGAGTCGAGTCACAGAGTGTGGTCGAGTCGAGTCGAGTCGAGTCAAGTATTTAGCTCGAGTCAATTCGAGTCACAAATATTTGAACACTTACTTACAATAAAAAGCAACAAACACAAGAGAGAAAGAATACAAGGCACCAGTCTATTACGGAAATCCAAAGACATAAAGTATGCTGTATGGTA